AATTGAATCTTACAGTGTGTCGACCCTCACCCAATCTATGTAAACTTTCACTCTACATTGACTCACTGTATATTACTCTCACTCACTATACACAGTCTCTCACTGTACATTGGCTCTCACTATACACAGCTTCTAACTCACTATACCCTGGCTCTCACTGTACACTAGCTCTCACTGTACACTAGCTCTCACTCACTATACACAGCCTCTCACTTACTGTACATTGGCTCTCACTCACTATACACAGCCTCTAAACTCACTATACCCTGGCTCTCACTGTACACTAGCTCTCACTCACTATACACAGCCTCTCACTTACTGTACATTGACTCTCACTCACTATACACAGCCTCTAAACTCACTATACCCTGGCTCTCATTGCACATTAGGTCTCAATGTAAACTAGCTCTCACTGTACACCGGCTCTCACTCACTGTACACTGGCTCTCACTCACTGTACACTATCACTATACACTGACTCTCACTGTACATAAGCTCTCACTTACTGTACACTGGTTCCCACTCACTGTACACTGGCTCTCACTCACTGTATACTATCACTATACACTGGCTCTCACTGTACATAAGATCTCACTGTACACTGGTTCTCACCCACTATACACTGGCTCTCACTCACTATGCACTGGCTCTCACTCACTATGCACTGGCTCTCACCTACTATACACTGTCTCTCACTCACTATACACTGGCTTTCACTCATTATATACTGGCTTGCACCGTAAGCTAGCTCGCACTCACTGTACACTGTCTCTACTCACTATGCCCTGGCTCTCGCTCACTATACACTGTAATAAAGTTGGTAGAATTACCGACAATATGTAAAGTAAAAGGACACAAGTTCAACTAATGTGACATTTATTGTGGCAACGTTTCGCTCTCCAGGAGCTTTATCAGGCTTGATAAAGCTCCTGGAGAGCGAAACGTTGCCACAATAAATGTCACATTAGTTGCACTTGTGTCCTTTTACTTTACACTATACACTGGCTCTCGCTCACTATACACGATCCCCCGCTGTACAAAGGTTCACTCACTGTACATTGGCTCTCACTATACATGGTTCCTCACTGTACACTGGCTCTCACTGTACACTGGCTCTTACTATACACTGGCTCTCTCACTATTCACTGGATCTCACTAAACACTGGCTTTCACTCACTGTACACGGTCCCTCACTGTACACTGGCTCTCACTATACACTGGCATAGTAAATTTGGGGGCAACTGGCTCTCACTAACACGGGCTTTACAGTCGCTGTAAACGGTCCCTCACTGTACACTGGCTCTCACGTATACACTGGCACTCCCGTGTACACTAGCTCTCGCTCATTGTACATAGCTCTCAATTTACACGGGCTCTCACTCACTATGCGCAGTCTCTCACTGCACACTGGCTCTCACTGTACACTGGCACTCACTCAATATTCACGGTCTGTCACAGTAACACTAATCTCTCACCTCACTGTACACTGGCTCTCATGTAAACTAGCTCTCATTCATTGAACAATGGCTCTCACATCACTGTACACTGGCTCCGCACACTGACACTGGCTCTCACTCACTGTACACTGGCTCTCACTCACTGTACACTGGCTCTAGCTCTCTGTACACTAGGCTCTCAACTTAGTATACACTGGACCACACTCACTGTGCACTGGCTCTCACTCTCAGTGTACACTGGTTTCTCGCTCAAGTGTACACTGGTTTTCACTCAGTGTACACTGGTTTTCACTCAGTGTACACTGGTTTTCACTCAGTGTGCATTGGCTCTCACTCAGTGTACACTGGCTCTCGCTCAGTGTACACTGGTTTTCACTCAGTGTACACTGGCCCTCACTCACTGTACACTGGCTCTCACTCACTGTACACTGGCTCTCACTGTACACTTGCTCTCACTCTTTGTGCACTGACTCTCACTCACTGTACACTGGTTCTCACTCACTGTACACTAGCTCTCACTCACTGTGCACTGGCTCACTCACTGTACACTGGCTCTCACTCACTGTACACTGGCTCTCACTTACTGTACACTGGCTCTCACTGTACACTGGCTCTCACTGTACACTGGCTCTCACTCACTGTGCACTGGCTCTCACTCAGTGTACACTGGCTCTCGCTCAGTGTACACTGGCCCTCACTCACTGTACACTGGTTCTCATTCACTGTACACTGGCTCTCACTCACTGTACACTGGCTCTCACTCACTGTACACTGGCTCTCACTCACTGTACACTGGCTCTCACTCACTGTACACTGGCTCTCACTCACTGTACAGTGATTCTCACTCACTGTACACTGGCTCTCACTCACTGTGCACTGGCTCTCACTCACTGTATACTGGCTCTCACTCAGTGTACACAGACTCTCACTCATTGTACGCTGGATCTCACTCACTGTACACTGGCACTCACTGTACACTGGCTCTCACTCACTGTGTACCGGCTCTCACTCACTGTACATTTGCTCTCACTCAGTGTACACTGGTTCTCACTCATTGTACACTGGCTCTCACTCATTGTACACTGGATCTCACATACTGTACACTGGCTCTCAAATGCTGTACACTGGCCTCTAACTCACTGTACACTGGCTCTCACTCACTGTTCACTGGCCCACACTCACTGCACACTGGCTCTCTCTGTGCACTGGCTCTCACTCACTGTACACTGGCTCTCACTCACTGTACATTGGCTCTCACTGTACACTGGCTCTAACTCACTGTACAGTGGCTCTCACTCACTGAACACTGGCCCTCACTCAATGCACACGGGCTCTCACTGTGCACTGGCTCTCACTCACTCACTGTACACTGGCTCTCACCCACTGTACACTGGCTCTCACTCACTGTACACTGGCTCTCACATACTGTAAACTGGCTCTCACTCACTGTACACAAGCCCTTACTCTACACTGGCTCTCACTGTGCATTGGCTCTGACTCACTGTCCACTGCCTCTCCCTCACTTTACATTGGCTCTCACTCACTGCACACTTGGCTCTCACTCACTGTAAAACTACTACATCCTCACTGTACACTTGCTTTCACTGTAAAACTGGCTCCCCACTCACTGTACACTGGCTCTCACTCGCTGGACACTGGCTCTCACTCGCTGGACACTGGCTCTCACTTATTGTACACTGGCTCTCACTCACTGTACACTGGCTTTCACTCACTGTACACTGGCCCTCACTCACTGTACACTGGCCCCACTCACTGTAACACTGGCTCTCACTCACTGTACACTGGCTCTCACTCCACTGTACACTGGCTCTCACTCACGTTACACTTGCTCTCACTCACTGTACACTGGCTCTCACTCACTGTACACTGGCTCACTCACTGTACACTGGCTCTCACTCACTGTATACTGGATCTCACTCACTGTATACTGGATCTCACTCAGTGTACACAGACTCTCACTCATTGTACACTGGCTCTCACTCACTGTACACTGGCTCTCACTCACTGTACACTGGCTCTCACTCACTGTACACTGGCTCTCACTCACGGTACACTTGCTCTCACTTCACTGTACACTGGCTCTCACTCACTGGATACTTGCTCTCACTCATTGAAACACCAGACTCACTCACTGTACACTGGTTCTCACTCATTATACACTGGCTCTCACTCACTGTACACTGGCTCTCACTCACTGCACACTGGCTCTTACTCACTGTACACTGGCTCTCACTGTACACTGTGTCTCACTGTACACTGGCTCTCACTCACTGTTCACTGGGTCTCATTCACTGTTCAATGGCTCTCACTCACTGTTCACTGTCTCTCAATCACTGTACACTGGATCTCACTGTACAGTGACTCTCATTCACTCTACACTTGCTGTCACTTTCTGTACAGTGGCTCTCACTAACTGTACACTGGCTCTCACTCACTGTATACTGGCTCTCACTCACTGTACACTGGCTCTTACTGTACACTGGCTCTTACTCACTGTACTCTGGCTCTCAATGTACACTGGCTCTCACTCAGTGTACACTGGCCCTCACTCACTGTACACTTGCTCTCACTCACTGTGCACTGGCTCTCACTCATTTTACACTGACTCTCTCTCTCACTGTACATTGGTTATCACTCGCTGTACACCGTTTCTCACTCACGGTACACTGACTCTCACTCACTGTACCCTGGCTCTCACTGTACACTGGCTCCTTCCGTACACGGGCCCTCAATCACTGTGCAATGACTCTCACTCACTGTACACTTGCTCTCACTCACTGTGCACTGACTCTCACTCACTGTACACTTGCTCTCTCTCATTGTACACTGACTCACTCACTGTACATTGGTTCTCACTCGCTGTACACCGGTTCTCACTCACTGTTCACTGTCTCTCACTCACTGTACACTTGCTCTCACTGTACACTGGCCCTCACTCACTGTACACTGGCTGCCACACACTGTATACTGGCTCTCACTCACTTTACACTGGCTCTCACTCACTGTACACTGGCTGTCACTCACTGTACACTGGCTCTCATTGTACTCTGGCTCTCACTCACTGTACACTGGCTCTCACTCACTGTACACTGGCTGCCACACACTGTATACTGGCTCTCACTCACTTTACACTGGCTCTCACTCACTGTACACTGGCTGTCACTCACTGTACACTGGCTCTCACTCACTGTACACTGGCTGCCACACACTGTACACTGGCTCTCATTGTACTCTGGCTCTCACTCACTGTACACTGGCTCTCACTCACTGTACACTGGCTCTCACTCACTGTACACTGGCTTAAACTCACTGCACACTGGCTCCCTCTGTGCACTGGCTCTCTCTCCCTGTACACTGACTCTCAGGAATCGTATATTCACTCTGTACACGGTCATCCACAAAACTTTGTCTTAATCATTGTACACTGACTCTACCTACTGTATACTGTCACATTCACTGTACATTAAGCTTCATCTTACTTCACTTTGAATAAAAAAACAAGTTAAGTTTAGAAAACTTTACCTTACTGTTGAAGACTTTGTTGACCTTTATAATAACACAGCTGAACGTGCGTCCTCTGTCCTCAATTTCTCCCCGCCTACTGACGCTGCTAAAACTCACTAAACAAACACCGAGGCATGGACACACACACTCACTCCTTCGTACCCTCCCACGCACTCCAACTTAATATCCCCTTTATTAATACATAAGAACATAGGAAAGGAGGAACACTGCAGCAGGCCTGTTGGCCCATACTAGGCAGTTCCTTTACAATTCATCCCACTAACAAAGCATTTGCCCAACCCAATTTTCAATGCTACCCAAGAAATAAGCTCTGATGTGAAATTCCCACTCAAATTCAACCCCTCCCACTCATGTACATATCCAACCTAAATTTGAAACTACCCAAAGTCCTAGCCTCAATAACCCAACTAGGTAGACTGTTCCACTCATCAACTACCCTATTTCCAAACCAGTACTTTCCTATGTCCTTTATAAATCTAATAATACCCATCTTCCACTTACTTCGATCAGGTCTCCCCTCATTCTTCGTCTAACAAGTGAATGTAATTTAAGAGTCCTCAATCTTTCTTCATAAGGAAGATTTATAATGCTATGTATTAATTTAGTCATCCTACGCTGAATGTTTTCTAACGAATTTATGTCCATTCTGTAATATGGAGACCAGAACCGAGCTGCATAATCTAGGTGAGGCCTTACTAATGATGTATAAAGCTGCAGTATGACCTCTGGACTTCTGTTGCTTACACTTCTTTATATAAATCTCAGTAATCTATTTGCCTTATTACGTACGCTTAGGCATTGCTGTCTTTTTTAAGGTTGCTGCTCACCATAACCCCCAAGTTCTTTTCGCAGTCTGTATGGCTAAGTTCTACATCATTTAACTTATAAGTACTTGTCCCCTGCTTTAAAAATAGGAATTACATTAGCCATCTTCCACATATCAGACACTACACCTGATATCTTTATTGTATCTTTATTGTATCTTTATTGTAGACGTTTCGCCATCCAGTGGCTTTATCAACACAAATTCCAGGACATAACTTGTAGACAGTAGGACTCTATACAGAAGATGAGGTACTCAGTCCCTCAACCTTGGAGTAGGTGCGAAGAGCACCGTAGTCGTGGAGATTCTCCACGACTACGGTGCTCTTCGCACCTACTCCAAGGTTGAGGGTATTATATACCATTCTTGCACAGAAATATTAAAAATATTAGCCAATGGTTCACAAGTCCCATTTTTTACTCTTTAAGAACCCTAGAAAAAAGTTCAACAGGGCCCGGGGATTTATTTTGCTTCAGTCGGTCTATCTGTTTGATAACCATTTCGCTAGTGACTTTGATATTGCATAATTTATCGTCTTCAAGCCCACTATAAAAATTTATTACTGGGATATTGTTAGTGTCCTCCTGAGTGAAACCTGAGAGAAAATAATTATTAAGAATAGAGCACATTTCATTCTCCTTGTCAGTAAGATGCCCAGAGCTATCTTTATGGGGACCTATCCTATCTTTAACCTTTGTTCTATAAACCTGGAAAAAACTTTTCGGGTTAGTTTTCGATTCCCTAACAACTTTAATTTCATAGTCCCGGTTAGCTTTCCTTATCCCTCTTTTAATGTCCCTCTTAATGCCAATATAATGAATCATAAGATGACCCTCACCTCTTTTTTCTGTCCTAAAAGATATTTGAGCCTATTATTCATCCATTTTGGGTCATTTCTATTCGATCTAATTTCTTTAGACGGGATGAATGTTCTCTGGGCAGCATGTATGGCGTTCAGAAAACTGCCATATTGATAGCTCTCTTCGTTACCCCAGTCAACAGCTGATAAGTGTTCTCTAAGAGCATCGTAATCTGCTAAACGAAAATCTGGGACTGCTGCTGAGTTATCCCTAATATCATACTTCCATTCAATGCTAAATGTAATTGATTTGTGGTCACTTGTGCCAAGTTCCTCTGAAATTTCTAAATTATTAACAAGGGATTCATTGTTTGCCATAACTAAGTCAAGCAGGTTATTTCCCCTTGTAGGTTCTGTCACAAACTGCTTCAAAAAACAATCCTGAACTACTTCTAAGAAGTCGTATGATTCTAAATTCCCAGTCAAGAAATTCCAATCAATATGACTAAAGTTAAAGTCTCCTAGAATTGCTACATTATCGTGCCCTGTGGCCTTAACAATTTCCTCCCATAGTATTCTCCCTTGGTCCCTATCTAAGTTTGGGGGACGGTATATCACACCTAAAATCGATTTTTCATGCCCCTCTGAAAGTCCTATCCAGACTCTGTATGTGTTACATCAGACTTAATACCCGTTTTTATGCAACAGTTCAAGCGATCTCGGACAGGTAGGCAGGAGAGGTGTAGCAGTCGTAGGTGGTGTCACATTTGTTCAATGTGGAAGTAGGTCGTGCCCAAGGGTTAGGCAAGCGGAGAATTCCCAAGTATTAAGATCCCAAGAAGTTGCAATGTCTGACAGGATTGTAGGTGAATGGTTCAGAGAACCGACACGTTGATAAATTAGACACATAAAGATACCCAAGAGCTGCACATGTGTCTAATTTATCAACGTGTCGGTTCTCTGAACCATTCATCTACAATCCTGTCAGACACTGCAACTTCTTGGGATCTTAATATTTGGGAATTCCTCGCTTGCCTAACCCTTGGGCACCACCTACTTCCACATTGAACAAATGTGACACCACCTACGACTGCTGCACCTCTCCTGTCTACGGTTTATAAGCTTCTCCGCACATATGCCGTATTCTATTCAAGATTGATGGACTGACCACATCGACTCAAGGTTGAGGGACTGATTACTTCATTCGCCTCCTGTTCTTCAAGATTCTCCTTTGTATGGCCTGATGAAGCCACTGTGTGGCGAAACGTTTCCTCAATAAAGATACCCAAGAGTTGCGCATGTGTCTAATTTACCCTACTATCATACTTCCATTCAATGCTTGTGATCGCTTGTGCCGAGTTCCTCTGTAATTTCTAAATTATTTGCAAGAGTTTCCTTGTTTGCCAAAACCAAGTCGAGCAGGTTATTTCCCCTTGTAGGCTGTGTCTCATACTGTTTCAAAAAGCAATCCTGAACTACTTCAAAGAAATCGTTTGATTCTAAATTCCCAGTCAAGAAATTCCAATCAATATGACAAAAGTTAAAGTCTCCTAAAATTACTACTTTATCGTGCCTAGTGGCCTTAAAAATTTCCTCCCATAGTAGTCTCCCCTGGTCCCTATCTAAGTGTGGGGAACGGTATATTACACCTAAAATTAATTTTTCACGCTCCTCTGAAAATTCTATCCAAACAGTCTCTATAAGTGTTACTTCAGACTTAATACCCATTTTTATGCAACAGTTCAAACGATCTCGGACATACAGTGCCACCCCACCCCACTTCCCGATACTTCTATCTACTTGGAACAATTTAAAACCCTGAATGTGACATTCTGCAGGCATGTCCCGACTTTTTGAATTAAACCACGTCTCAGTTATGGCAAATACATCAATGTTCCTGCACTAGCAACTAATCTCAACTAGTCCATCTTATTCCTAGCACTACGGGTATTAGCATAATGTATATTTAAAGACCCTCTTTTTTTCTACCCTTCCTGCTCATTTCTGTTTTTCCACTAAACCTATTACTACTATCCTTGTCGCCTAGTGTCACTGGCTTTCCAATGTCCACCTCATTTTGCCTATTACTAGTTCTCCTAGTATTCATATTATTACACTGGGACTTCACTGTTTTCCTGCCAAAACCCATACCACTAACTATTCCTAGTTTAAAGTCCTAACAGCTCCCTCCACTGCAGTTGCCAGTGCCCCCACCTCAGACTTAGATAAATGAACCCCATCCCTGGCATACATGTTATTTCTGCCATAGAAGAGGCCCCAGTTGTCAGTGAATGTTACCGCATTTTCCTTACAGTATTTTTCAAGCCAGCAATTGACACCAATTGCCCTGGACAACCATTCGTTTCCAACTCCTCTCCTTGGCAAAATACCACATATGACAGGGTTCCCACCCTTCCTCCTAATTATCTCTATTGCTGACCTATACCTGCTAATCAGGTCCTCACTCATACGTCTGCCAACATTGTTGCCTACAGCACTGAGACAGATAATAGGATTGCTCCCATTACCTCTTATGATGTCATCCAGACAGCTAACAATATCCTCCATCCCAGGCCCAGGAAAGCAAACCCTCTGTCTCCTACTTCTGTCCTTCAAGCAGAACTCCCTGTCCATGTACCTAACTTGGCTATCCCCAACAACAATAATATTCTTACCTTCCTTGGTGTCGTTCGTCGTGACGATCCCAGTAGTCGACTCACATTCGTCGGGTAGCACGGAGAATGCATTAGATGTTTCCACAACAGTTTTCACAACAGTCTCTTTCTTCTTCATCGTTTCTACCTTTCCATTCGTCTTCTTGATAGTCAACTTCGTCCCATGCTGTCCAGCCACTTACCACGTTCCCTTCTTGACCTGAGGTCTCAAAACAGGAGGACTACAACGAATCCTCTTGTTTTCCTCAGCCAATTGCTGTATCTTCATCTTTGCTACCCTCAATTCTTCCTTAAGCTGCTGGTAAAGTTGCTCGATGGACGGCATCTGGGTTCAGTCCACGGGAAGCACACAAGACACTTCTTCCCAGAGTTAAGTACAGGTCACCACTACCCTATTTCCAAACCAGTACTTGCCTGTATGCTTTCTAAATCTGAACTTATCTAATTTGAATCCATTATTGCAGGTTCTCCTTGGAGGGATATCCTCAAAACCTTACTTGTATCCCCTTTGTTAATATCATCTTCCACTTATACACTTCGATCATGTCTACCTTATTCTTCGTCTTACAAGTGAATGTAATTTAAGAGACTTAAACCTTTCTTCATACTGAAGATTTCTAATGTTATGTATTAATTTAGTCATTCTACACTGAATGTTTCTAACGAATTTATATCCATTCTGTAATATGGGGTCCAGAACTGAGCTGCGTAATCTAGGTGAGGTCTTACTAATGATGTATAAAGTTGTAGCATAACCGCTGAACTTCTGTTGCTTACACATCTTCATATAAATCCCAGTAATCTATTTACCTTATTACACACGTGTACGCACTGCTGTCTAGGTTTAAGGTTGCTGCTTA